AGAAACATATGGTTATAATAAAATTTCATAAAATTATAACATCTCTGTGCTTATTGAATTTCAACTTCCTGATGAGTTTTCCGTTTTATATTTGATTTGAAACACTAAACTATCCTCAAAAGTTTTGTTAGCAAATAACATTTTGGCTGTATATCCAAACAGCAACTTTGCCTGCGCGAGGTGCACCCATACTTGTTCTATATAAATACTCATATATTAAACTACATATTTTACCAGTTTGAAAATTTTAGGATATCATTCGGCTAAAGAATGGAAAAGTGTGGGCTTGTTTAAGGTTTTTTGGCCTTTTCTGTGTGTTTTGTATAATAACTGAAAATAATAACCATTTATTAGCCTAAAACGACATAATAATTACTTGTTTGACAGATATTTGCGTCATTGTGGGTTTCCTTTTGTACTTCGATCTTTATCAAAAGCGTGTCACAAGAATGCAATACGTTTCTATAGTCAACTCAGCACACGAATCAGACTAAAAATAAAAATATGTTGTACATAGGTATTTACGATTCGTACAAAAATATATCTTTTTATAATACAATTTACACATTTTTGGGATTAATAAACGCCTATTTTATATACCTATAATATGAAGGTAAATTAACAGCATATTCTATTCTATGTACAAGCACATTTTGAAAAAAAAATCATACACTTAAGGTAACAGCACTAGTAACTGACCATGTACCTGTAGTTGACCACTAACTCACATAACCGATAAAATAAGAATTCGCGGAATGTTTTTAAACTAATTTCATATTAAATAGTCAGTGCTGCCATCTGATCATCGAATCGTGCGAACTGCGCATCCGTCATTTTCTAATACTCAAAATGGCTGGCAGTTGTTTTGTGGAGTGAGGCAGCGTAAAACTATTATTCGTTTTTTGTAAACATATTCATGATTGCAAAATGTTTAAGTTAAATATTAGCAACTTAATAACCTTGTTGATGGTAAATGTTTAGATTTTCTTATTTGTTTAGCATCAATTAAGGTATAACATGGTATTCAAAATACAAAAAATTATTTACAAAGTCAACATGTCATCATGTCACCTCCACTACTGACTCAAATTTACCATGATTTTCTAGTAATTGACCGGGATGGTCAACTAGTGATGAAACTTTCTGTCATGTTAATATATTGTACAAAGTAATATATGAAGGGCAGCATTAATTAGAATTCAACTATTTTATTACCTTTTACTCTAAGTTACTTTTATTTAGTAGTTAACCACCTTTATTTTAAAGTATAACACTAAAAGCAATTTTTGACATTGTAGATGTCTGGGAAAAGGGCGTATTCCTAAGTTATACTGAAGCTGCAATGCCCTCAGCAGTGAACGATGTTCGTCTTCATAAGACATCCATAAGAACGGCTGAAAAGTTTGGTGTACCAAGAATAACGCTTACAAATAAAGTAAAAGGGAAGTCACCAACGGAACGATAGATGGGCCCAGCGTCATATTTTACACCAGACGAAAAGAAAAAAATATGCGACTGGATGCAAAATACAGCGAAAGCGGGATTCCTGGTGGCAACTGAACAGTTAATCGTAAGTGTTGAAAAACAGTTGAAGGATATAAAACGTCCATGTGGCTTATTTAAAAATAGAAGACCAGGTAGAACATGGCTAAAAGCATTTATTCGGAGGAACCCGACCATTTCTACGAGGATATCACAAAATTTGACGACGTCCAGAGCCGGGTAACAGGTGCTGAACTATTAGGGTTGTATAAACGTGTGTAAGCCGAGTTAGAAGATAGTCGCCATGTTGATATATTGAATGATCCGTCGCGAGTTTTTAATTGCGATGAGACAGCCTTTTTTGGCACCAAAAGGACCTAAAGTGCTTGCAAAGAGAGATACCACTCTACATCAATTAGACATCACACCTCCTAACAGTGTGCTTGAAACGATTCCAGAATCTTCAACTAACGCTGTTGCTGATGGATTGAATTCCGGTATATACAGTGTTGCTAGCATTTCTGACGCTACCTAGTCCCTTTAAGAAACATTACTTTTACAAAACGAACAACAAAAAGTACACACCTAAAACACGTCTTAAAGAAAGAATACCCACTATAGTTTCAGGAAAAAGTTACCAGGAATATTTGTAGAGGAAATTGAAGCAAAAAAAAGAACTTTTTAACAGAGCGGATAAAAATAGAAAGAGCTGCTGAAATGCTAAGAAAGAAAGAAAAAAAGGGTGACTAAAGAGAGTCAAGGCCCTCAAAATAATAAAACATACCAAAATAAAGTGGGTAAAGAAAAATCTCCGATTGTCTTCGTCAAGTTCTGACTCGAATGCTGTGGTCTCTTCAGAAGAAAGTGTAAAGGAGTCAAAAATGACACTGATCAAGAATCTAACATTGTGGATTTGAAACCCCCTCAAGGAATAGATGGTAAATTTGTCATACTTAAACGTGAAATCCAAAAATCCACATTATTTATTTACCTATGCTCAATACTTAGCTGCTATATATGAAGATAAAGCTATTAAAACTTGAGCATCTGGATTTTCATCTACTAATGCAATATATGATCATTTACTACTTTGTTAGATGGTATTCAATCATTGTACAAGAAAAAATACTGGTTTTGTTTCGTTAAAAGACTACTTCAGACTAAGAGTTGACAAAAGTAAACATTCATTAAATTCGCATGAAAATTAAGGTTAAGAATAGAAAAAGGAAAGTCTGTGCTTTTAAATTGTCATTTACTGATGGTCTTACCTTAATGTGAAATAAGTATTTAATAAAGTTTGACTTTTATTTATATATAACGACACGGTGGTTATGGAATAAAGTAAGAAATGATGACTTGAACACCCATGGTTAAATCACGGAGAAGAAATAATGAGATTCAAAAAAGAAAATAGATTTAGCTTAAGTAGTTGTACATAAATAATAGCAAACGGTTTTTAAGATTTAAAACTTTAGGTTTAAAATATAACTTGCTTAAAATATGACTAGAGCAAATTATTAAAAAAGGTATTTGACAGAGCAAAATCGTTATTCAGCGTAATGTAATTCAGTACCTAGGTATTCAATGCCATGCAATTGAGTAGTTTATGTACTATATGTATGTGTACTATTTCGCATTGTGAAAATAAATGTATAAATATCTAATATATTAGTCAATTTGTGTTCAGAATCGGGTTCCTCCTTTGAAGCTGCTAAGTGAGATTAAAATACAAAACTAATAACAGAAAGTAAAGCGCCGTATACATCATTAATTATTCGAGCTGTTTCTGCAGCACTGGTGCCACGGTAGAACTCGTATTCGTACTCGTATATACCGATATTTCATGTTTTCCATTGTGCGGTAATAAGCGACGCCAAAGATAAAAAAGCTTTTTGGTAATATATATAATATTTAATTTCTATGTATATGTATATATACATAGAAACTAATATTTAAGTTCTTATAATGGGTCCGTTTCAAGGTCTTAGAGTCTGATGCTATGGTTTTAGGAGGACCTGTGTGCCGTGTGTTGTTGGTTTGTGTGCGTGTACAGTATATCAGTTTTACTATTACATAAAAAAACATAAACACTCACGCCTGTCACCCAGAGGTGTAGGCAGAGACTACGGACTTCCATTTGGCACGATCCTGACATACCTCTTTCGCCTCCTTTACATCCATATATCTACGCATACATGCTCGTCGGTTAAGGGTACTTCTAACGTGGCCCCTTTTCAAAATATCGTACGTAAATCAGTAAAATATTTTCGTGGCAGTAGGATGATGTTCCTACTAAGGTTTCCTATCCGGGTACCCGGATCCGGGTATACCCGGGGATATGAAATATTTAGTAGGTACTCGGGTACCCATTTTGATCGAAGAATTCATCAAAGATAATAGTAGCAAATTTGTGCTGCAAATAATTAAAGTAAGTCTAAAGGCGTTGAGTTTTTTACAAAAATGTAGAAAATTTGAGGTAAGGTTTTGTTTAGTCACTGTGTTCTGTGCTTATTTAGTTTGAATTTGATTAAATAGTTTTATTTCTATTATTTTTATAGGAGTGTAGAAAATATTTGGTTGGCAATTCTATTATCGTTCGGTGAAAGGTGACAAAATAAAAATTGTATGTAGTGGAAAACTTATTGAAGACTTATTGATTGACATACTTCACTCTTTCGTAATAAAATAAAACATAATTACTATAATAAAATTTTATCTTTTTGTTCAAAAATTGCAAATACCCAGGTACCCGGGTATAACCGGATATATGAAATGATAATACCCGGGGTAATAAAAAGTCGGGTACGCGAAAACCCTAGTTCCTTCTCAATTAAGTGAAGTTTGTCGACGGTCGGTCCCATTTTAACACGCTTTTATTAGCTTCGCGTGTATTTATCTATATATCTATATGTATACAACGGAATCTTTTAATGTAATTTTCACAAACTTATAGAGTGCCGATTGACTTGAAAATTTGCACTCGTATCAATGACCGATGACAATCCTATAAAAAAATACAATAATTTTATAACTTTATCCAAGTATACTGATTAGGATCACCAGGATAAAATGAAATAATTATCAAGGTCATTACAGCTCATGATTAATGCGTGTTGTTTAAGTTTTTTTTAACTCATATTATTATTTAAATCGCATTGCGCGTAACATAAAATAATTATATTATTTACAGCCTCACATGCCTGCACGTGGTGCACCCTGCTAAATAACAAAAGATAAAAATATCTGTATTGTAAATAGTGAAATTGTCGCCAAAACGTGAAATATAATACGTACTTATACGTACCTATTTTATATACTAATGTTTATGTAATTCTATGCACAAAAAACATTTCATTAGAAAATAATTTTTCATATAAAATATAAAATGTATATACTCACAAAACATTTATAGCATAGAATCAGAATACAATTAAGATTAAAACAAAACCAATTGTTTCAAATATCATTGGATTATTTTGATTGTTTATAGCTCTTAAATGCCTGCTATGTTACATATTCTATAGTTTCCTTTTGTAGATCATTTCAAGCATTCTGAGGAAAAGTTCAGGCGGGAGACCAGTGTCAACTGATAGACCCCGCACTCTTTCCACGACCGCGTCATAACGGTTGCGTTCCTCCTGACGATACAGCTGTGGTAGTTCCAGCTGCTCGTAAAGCCTCTGAATGCGTTCTATATGTGCGGGCTCTCTGCTGCCGTAGCAGGATGTGAACACATTGCGTTGTGCTTCGTTACAGCGCTGTAAAGCCATTACGGCTAGCCAGGAACATTTGCCCTGCTGTATGTCCGTACCCGCTTTACCGGTCACTGACTCCGCGCCAAAACAGTCTATGAAATCATCCTGAAAACCATTAAACAGATACCTTAGAAACTATTACTATTTCAACATACAAATAAAATCATTAAATAATAATAATGTCCTCCGGACCGATTCTCGGACACGGCCAGCATCAACGGAGTCTAGACATCGGCACAGACACGATTATAGTGCCAAAGTGTATGCGCAAGTACAGGTGCACTCTCTATTCTCTCACTCTCATAGTTCGATGGGACGGTAAAGCGACACAATCGGAGGGATCGGGAAAACAAACCAACGGCTTTATGTGCTTTCCGACGCTCGGGGAAACAAATGCCGCCAACTTTCTGACTCCGGGCAGCCACTGAGAATTTTTCGATGGAAAAGCTCAATGACTGATTTTTTTTTTGCCCAACCCGTGATTCAAACCCTAGACCAACAAGGCAATCAATAAATGTAAGTGCCTACAACTATGCTTTGGATACTTACGTTATTATACTCCACCAAATCTAAGTTACCTCTTTTGGCTTTTCTCAGTAAACATTCCGCAAAAACTTTTGTACAAGCGTAATCTTACGATTTAAAATAACCTTTTATGTAAATTCAAAGAGTTATGAAGTTATGTATATTTAATTACAACACGTATAGTCTTTAATAACTAATTTACATTCAAATCTCTCAAACAAAGCAAAAAATAAACAATTTAACTAGATTCAACTGCTTGCTATTCATTTTTAAATTTGCTTAAATTAAAATATGCATCATGAATTTAACAAGTTTATTTCCTTATAATTTCTGTGAAACCCACTGCGGCGAGATTGCAAGTAATTTTAGAAGAAGCCGGTTTATAAAATAGGAGTATAGAGTCATTGAGAACCATTTTGTAAGGAATTGGTTTCCGATATAAAAAAAAATGACAAACGCTAAATAATTATTTAGAAACATGAATGCAAAGAATAACATTTTTAAGATAAATTAAAAATATAATCAATTAGAATAACGTTATGTTCATGGATGAAACAAGACTCAACACTAACCACAGTGTGCAGATATATCACTGAAGTGTTTTGCTAAAAGATGCTCGTTGGGAAAAGTGAGCGCCTCATAACTTGCCACACGGGATCATCAAGATTTAAAAACAGAAGAAAATACAGTAGTTGTATTTTCCACAAAGGAGCACTGGAACAAAGTCGTCGGTCAAAGTCGTCCGCAAATTGCAGTTTTTAATTTATACAACTTTGTCTCTAGAAATTAACAGTAAGCAATAAATATTAAGAAGCTCAAAAATTTTGTGCTTTGAGTTATATGTTTCTAATTTTTTCTGGTATTAATCTAGGTAAAAATTTGAATGTTTATCTCTAAAGAATCGATATCGATTTCTCTTAAGAATCGAATATAGTAGGTACCGATTTTTGGTTTTGAAATGCTAAGTCCAATAAATGTGACAACTGTCAAAATGTATTTCTTAGATTTGGTGGAGTATAAGTGGATATACGGGCAGCGTTTAATCCATACAAACGCATTCATTTGTTTTCTCTGGATGATAACATTAAAGCATATTTTTTCTATACAAACTATATCTGCCACTGCCATGTTTTGTTTTTTCCATAAATTAATCATTTTATACACCTTTTTTACCAAAATTACCTAGCTGCGCAGTTATACTGCAATGAAATTCTTATAAATTTATTTCAATTTACTTAACATAAATATCAATGAAAAAATCATTTATTTTATATTTACAAAATTACGTTTAAAGTACAAAATTCCGTTCTATTAATGTATAACATGACGATGAATTATGAATAATGAACATACATGAAATAAACGATATTCTCTCTGTCTTAACAGATATACCTAATACATATTATATCCAACAGATTTGATTTTGAATATGATTTCCTATTTTAATTTTCAGGTGAAAAAGGTCAATGGCAAGATCTTTTTAATATGATAATATACCTTTAAACTATTTAAATAATAAAAGCATCCTTACTTGCATTTGAAAGAGATGGCCGATTTCTAAACATATTTCTTCAGCTCTTTTGTGGCTCTCCGTGTCTGTATTGTTAGCTAAAAGCATGCCCAAGCAAACGGGTAATTTGAATGTATAATAAGCAGTCTTGTATTTAACAATAGCATTGTAACGTTCTACCGTAAATAGACTGTAATCGTTCTTTTTTCGCTGTGCCATTGTGTAGTCTAAGTGTTGCCCTATGGACGTAAATAGCAGCGTCTGAAAAATCATTGTAATTCAAATTAATATTTAAGGAAATAAAAGAATTATTTAACATTAGTGAAAAACATAGTTTTTGTAGGTTAAAGATGTACTTATATATATATATTTTTAAAGAAAACAAGAATAACTTACTTCATTAAATAAATTTACTATATGAGTATATTGTTTCTTGTCACCAAAATGTGTTTTCAATATTTCTATCATAGAGGTGTATACAAGAATAGTGTCATTAATGGCGCCAAGACCAACTTCTGGAAGTCGGTACCAACAAGTTACACCTCTACGCGTCGTAGATCCATCCATTATATCGTCTGCCATTAAAAGATACGCCTGTAACTGTCAACAATAAAACATAGTTAATTATTAACTTCCCAGTGGGAAGTTATTGTAATGGGTCCGATTTTGCAAATTGAAAATTTTAACATATCTCCACGTTTCAAGGTCTTTAGAGTCGAATAGTATGGTTTTTAAGGGGCTGTCCGTGCACATGTATGTATGTATGTATGTTCGGATTCAATTTTCGCCTCGTATATCTCGAGAGAACAAAGAGTGATATTGATATGGGACCAGTTTCATTTAACGCATAATTATTAACGAATAGCTCATTAAATTTTGAGCAAAATCGGTTGTTTTTTGAAATTGTATAAAATATTAACTCTCCGGATCTCCGGACCTCTTCAATCTTTATGTTAACGGCTTGAACGAGGAGCTTAGGAGTACCAAAATTGGATGTCACATTAATGGTGTAGCGTTTAACCTTAGCTACGCAGACGATATGGTGCTCCTTAACCCATCGATCAACGGTCTTAGAAAGCTTATATTCATCTGCGAAAATTATGCTCGTCAGAATGGATTAAAATATAATGAGTCTAAGACTGCAATGCTAGTCTTTCGTGCTGGAAAGGGTCCGAGGAGAGTACCGCCAGTAAGCATAAATGGTGTGCAGGATCGGACTGTGAAGAATTTCAGGTACTTGGGTCATATGTTGTCGGAGAACCTGAGTGACGACTTGGATATCGAGCGTGAACGTAGAGCTCTAGCTATACGTTGTAACATGCAGGCGCGTCGCTTTGCCTCGTGTTCTGAGGATGTTAAGATTACTCTGTTTAAAGCCTATTGTATTAGCTTTTACACCGGACAACTTTGGATAAATTACACCAAAAAATCCTATAACATCCTCAGAGTACAGTATAATTATGCTTTTCGTATTTTTTTGAAACATCCACGGTACTGCAGTGCGTCCACAATGTTCGCAGAGGCTGCCGTCCCAGACTTTTACGCAGTGTTACATTGTAGAACGGCCAGTTTCTGGGAAAGTGTACGTGCTCAGGAGTCTCCTCACAATATATTTTATAAACACTGGCAGGGTATGCATCAGACACTATAGGTGATGATTTTTTTTTTTAAAGTACTATATTTTAACTCATAATAGAGTTTAATTAGTGATTTTGTATGTGTATAATACTCTAATCCATTGTCTTTGACGCAAAATGTACTTGACATAAGTGGGTTGATACCTTAATAAATAAACTTTTATTATTATTATTATTAAAACGTATGATATTTTTGTTATTAATAATAATAATGTACTTTCCACTGGGAAGGGAGTCGTGTGAACCTTTCGGGTTGCTCCGCAGACCGCTTTTTTTGTACAATTCAGGTCAAAGCGTAAGCTTTCGTATATTACCGAAAGTTATCAACTACGCAAGTCATATTCTCGTACCACAAGTGTATGCTCAAACAGGTGGCCGAAGTAACGTATTATGCAAATAGAGTGCATGCAATGTCAGATACGCAAAAACATGCAGTTTCGAAAAACAACCATTATTTTTTATTTTGTGTGTATTTACTACTGTATACACTGTCGTCGCGTCACAAGCCTAAATAAATAAATAATGCTATCAAACATTCTAAACGACTCTGCATATAGAACAGCTCCGTAATATCACTAGCATTAGCTGCTGTCCTGCGCTGGCTAAGCATCTTGCCCGGCGAGGGATCTCCCCTTTTCCTTTCACGAGTGAAGTAGTGACCCCAACGTGATATAAACACGTAACTTGCAACTTTTTCTAAAATCTTTACAATAACAGTGTCAGAGTTAATTCTTCTTGTACCAAATGTAATAAAATTGTGAATTATGTAACTTTTCCTTATGTGTGTGTCAATAATAATTATTATTATTATCCTAATATCTCATTAAAGTGCTATCAAATACTTTCACTTTACAGTCATGGCGCTTTCAAAAAATGTGGTTTTGGCACATTTTCATGTACCATGGCACCTACAGAAATCGTTATAATCGAGAAATATTAAACAATGGGCTTTCCGTATATTGTAATTATCAGCACTATCAATATTTTTTTAATATTTTTGAACAAAATTTAAGCTGAAATAGGGTAGCCATATAACTTGAAGGACCGACATCTGATGGAAAAATGAGGTTCTCCAGTCACAGACTCGTATCAGCAAAGTGAGTGTGGAGGCGGCATATAATCCTGTGTACAGACGATGACCTCGAATTACAAGTCCCCCATAATGTTGTAAGACGACTTCTGTTTTTAATCCTTCTGTTTTCAATTTGAATATGTTATTTTTTTTTTGTTTATTCCGATTTTAATGATTCTTTATAAATTGAGTATAAACACATCATGTGACGATTATTATACTTCCGGGGTGACCCCAGTAAAAATTTAGAGAAAATATTGTGAGTGACATAAAATTAAATAAAATAAATTAATTAAAATTAACAAATTGGGGTGTTTTAAATGTGTTTAAAAGACATTCGAACTTCGGATATTCCTTAGTCCACTCAAAAAGGCTAAAAAAATTAACTTCATACAAATAAAAGCCGATTTCAAAGAACTAAAAATAATAAAATAATTTCCGTTACATTTTTACATTTTATTAAAAGTTATTTAGAGTCATTCCTACATTTTACAGCCGATGTTACGTATGCTTCAATTTGGTAATCATGTACGTTTTCACTAGCATTTAATGATGATAGATAATATTATGATAATGTTTATAAGAATTACTTTGCTTGTTTTATTTCTTACTTCATAAATGTATATTTAGTTGAGTAACATTTGATGGAAATTTAATTACAAAAATATGACGGCTTAATGAACATCAATCTCTTATTAATAGCTTGTATTATAAATATTTTAGAGTCTTTATGTTATATAAAGATAACTATTTTGATGTAATAAATCAATCTGAAAACAAGAACTATCTGTAGGATTTTATTTGAACTCTTTCTTTTTTTGTGTTAAGGTTTTTACCCGTTGGATTGTCAGGGAGAATAGAGTACAGTAATAATATTTGGATTAGGATTAAGAGTAGTTCAGAAAAGATGGAAGCGGGAATTCTTTCTCTTTTTGCCTCAAACCAACCTCAAAACAATGAATGCACTTTCGACTGACGAATGTTTTATTTATTCGAAAATGGGCCGACAGTTAATGTAAATACATAAATTAAAATACAATTCTAGAAATGTATGCTCATTTATCTGATCGGCTATGTAGCTGGTCAAAACAAGCGATACACATTAATAAAATACAAGCGAGAAATGATACAAATACCTTTAACGGTAAAGGGATGCATTTAAATTCCAACAACAATGCCCTTTAAAATTTGATTACAAGAGTGAAATGGCACAATTTATTAGATCTGTAAAGCTTTTGACTCATTGATCTACTGACGTTTCAGATGAAGGATTCAAATATCGTAAAGTACATTCACAAGCTGGCAGCAGTCTAGCAGTCTAAATTAATAATAGACTATCTTTTTAATAGAATAAGGTGACAAACGAGGACACAGTCCACCTGGTGTTAGGTGGTTGCTGTGATCCGTAGACATCTACATCTTTATTCTTCATTAATAATCAATATACAGACGTGTTGTCGCCTCTGGGTCTCCCGTTGTCTATACTAATCATACAAAACACTGCAGCATGGGGCTGCTATTTTACGCTCGTATACTGACAAGAGTGTGGTTCTTTTCCGGTCGAGCCGAGCCATCGGTGTAACAACCATAATATAACTGCAACATGGCTCTACCAAATAAGAATAACTTTTTAAACTTCTTCACACATAATGAGAATTTATCAGTATGGGTAAAGAACATAATAAGCAAAATTATGTCACAATGTGTGAAGAGACATTGTGTTACAATAACATTGTACATTTGACACAAACTGCTTATACAATCTGTTGAATTGCAATATTTGCAGCTATGTACATTGTATTGATATCATTTACATTATGTTTGTCCTATTTATAAATAAGTAAAACAAAGCATAATATTTGAAATTTTGTTATCCAACATCACGTTATTACCGTTAATAGCGGTATATAATAAATTAGGTCACATTAGATAAAATAATGACTAGCCAATAAGCTTTATTGCCATTGACTTATATATTACCAGCATATTTACCGCATTATTTTTTTCTATGAGGAACCAAAGCAGATGAAATAAGCCTTGAAATGTATTGACATATTATGTATAATTTATGAGCGCAAACAAGAGGAAACTCAAATGCGGTATTTTTCAAAATGATTACTAAAGTAGTAGCAGTAGTAGTAGTAAGTTTCCAATTTCCTAAATAAAAATCTCCAGTTCTCATCACTTCCGGCATTTCTATCTGTTCAAGAAATTTCATCGCAATCAGTTTAGCCATTCCGAAGATTAGCCCGGACAGACAGACAAAAACTTTACAAATGTGTGCCCATATCTTAATGGCATGCAATAAACGCACTCAGCTCAATGAAAAGTAATTATATTGATATTACAGATAGACATGTCAATTATATATATATCAATTATATACCTCTGGGAATGAGGTGATCGCTACTATGCTCTTTCTAAATGTTTTCATAACAATGGTGTAAATATTATATTGTTATATAAAAGTTTTTTTTTTTTTTCAGCCAACTATTTCTTTACGAACTAAAAGAAAAAAAAAATTTTTTTAAAAAAAAAGGGGGGGGAAAAAAAAGGATTTATATATAAATAAACTTATAATAAGTCTTGGACTTTATGGAGTGACCTGAAGATGTACTTTAGTGGATGCTAAATTAAAATACAGGTTATGACTAGATGAAAAACTTTTTGAAAACGAAATAAAGTTGATGAGAAAATAATTATTAACAAGTCAGGTAAAAAAGACTAGTTTTACAATAATGCCCGAGTACAAATACCTAAAAATTAAAGTAATATTAAAGTTGATTTCTTGTCATTTTAAGATAATTCTGTAGTTTTATCAATTAACAATCATTATAAAAAAAAATTGAATCTCAATAATAATGACATAGTAAAATTTAAAAAAATATCTTCTACTGTTGATTGAGAATTTTTTCAAAACTTTTTTATTAACGTTTGACATAAAATTATCGGAAAATTAGAAGTAATAGTAATAAGGTAATTTGTGAAAACTTGTGAGTATTTAAAATACTTTAAAAAATTTACATATAACATGAGCGCTTTAAGACTTATGAAATTTTTTTAGATTATTGTTTTATCAAAGACAATGCAAACCATTTAGCTCCGATAGATGAGAAATCAAGGTAAAAAGAGTAATCAATTAGTTACTAATTTAGAATAAGCAATATATAAAACAAGCAATTATTTACCATTTCAACACACCATCCCATTGTACGACTCAGCCTTAATGATTCCTCTGTAATATTCTCTGGTTTCTCTAGCATTTCATAAGCAAGTACTGTAGTTAGTCCTCTGTTCTTCTTACCACCAGCCAAATTGTAATCCAATATCTGTTAAAGGTAAATGTTTGTAATGAGAATTAATATTAATACTTCTGCAATGACAAAATATTTTTTATAGATTAAGTAAAAGACCGCATCTTTGCTAAACAGAGTGCACGGCAGCGGCCACAGTGTACTGAGTGAGATTGCCGACAGTGGGGACTGTCCACTGATCAAAAAGATGAAGATGATCTTCAGGACCATGTCCTGCTTAATAATTAAATATTAAAAAAAAAAGAATAAATTATATTACTAACATAGATGTGTAAGTTTTTCTCTACTAACAATTCCTATGGATTCAAGTTGTCCAAAATAAACAATTTTCATTTTATTTATTATTTATTTATTTATTTAAGTGAGTAAAGCTAGACAAAAAAAGAGAAAAGAGGAATCAAAATGTATCATACATTGTCACCCCTGAGGACTAAAATGGAATGCAAAATGGGTTTCAATTTCTCTACACTCCAAAAAAAACACAACTGCATTGAGCTGCTATTTTACACTGATATTCTATGTGAGTGAAGTCTTCTCAGGTCGAGCCAAGCCGCTTGTGCTACTACTATAAAATAGCGGCTCTACTACATTTATACTAAAACATATACCTTTTTTATCCACACTGAAAACTCAGGTATTTCCGACAGCTTCGGACTTGTGACAAGTGAGTCGATTACACTAGGTAAGACATCTTGAAAAGTCCCTTTTTCTTTTTGAAGCTCTGATATAGAAACACTGGTTGACATTTTATGAATATTGTTTTTTAAAACACTGAAAGAAAAATTGTTAACTTTTTATATAAACAGAATTCCATTACTATTAGATTAACTAATTCATGGTTAGAGAAATTTGATAAATAGGGAATTATGAAACTAAATTAGTCACGCTTGCTTGATAAACTACATATCACAAGATTTACATACTGCTAATTGTCACATATATTAGCATAATCTGGCCTATTTCACATTTTTAACAAGAAATATATCAAATATTTTCCTTAATCAACTAATGATATTGTAATGGTTTCAAAAAAATCTTTTTTTTTATTCTCACTATTAATAAAAACTAAATTAAATGGTGATTTCTCACTAAATTAACATGGTTATGGTAAAGACTACAATATGGAGGTTTTACAAAAGTATAATATAGTAACAATATTTTTGTTTGAATTAAAGACAGTAACCAATAACAAACTAATAAACCTGCAAAAATAATTATTTTTACACACACACCACATAGGGTTTCTGTTTATATTCAATATTATTTTCTGAAAAATCATTGCCAGGAATGACTTAACATTAAACTAAACTGTAGAGTGGTTCAAAGTCAACTGAAAGTGTTGAATCCTCACAAACCATACATAATTTAAGTCAGTGAATAATCTGTGATAATATCACTTATATTGTATAGCGCTTTAGCTTTGTCATGAAAATTATATCCACGTTCGGGCGAACCGTAATTTTTATTTAACAATTTTTATCTAACAAAAATACAAAATTATAATTTAATAAAGTGTAAATATGTTATCTACCTTTTAGTATAATTCACATTGAAAAATGTCTTGCTAGAAATACTGATAATTTTTGAGAACTTAATTGAGGTACCCATTTTTATTTAAAAATAAGTGATTTATTTTTGTGTTAAACTTTCTCCGATTAAATTTGAATACGATATGAACTTTCACAAAACACGTTACTCTCATTTGATATCTCTCAAAGAAAACTAAATAAACATTTACAAGAATATTCTTTATTACGACCTACTATAAGCCAAAGAAATCATTCTTGAAATAAGTAACGTAAGTAAAATAAGTAAAAGTGGTTACAATTAAATTCCGTAACTTAAACTTGAAACTGTACGCCTGTACGCTGATACGTCACTACTCATCAGCCAATCCACACAATTATAAATGTCAGATGTCAATGTCATGCTCTGACATTAGCCATTATAAACAGAAAACATTTATGAAAGAAAGGTTACGTAGAGAAAAATGGAGGGAGAGAGAGTGTGTTTATGTTATCCTGAGAGGTAAGTGTTGACATAAATCCTTTTATATATAGATGATCCCTTTGTAAACCGCTTCCTTGGTACATCCGAGTATCTAACTAAATTGGTTATTAGAAGGGAACTGAGACAATAGTGTCATCTCTTATTATCTTATGGAAATGGTGTATACTAATTTCCCTGTCGCACAGTTTCCGTTTGCCTGTGTGTACGTATCAACATCAACTACAAACTATTAAACGAAAAAACAGGATCAAAATCCGTCGATGGTCAAATTCCCGCCAAAACACCCCATTTTTAACCTACTTCGAAAAACTAAGCAGAAGTCGGGTTTTATTGCGGTATTTGATTCTATAATAGATGTATTTTCAGTTGGTATGAATGATATCGTGAGTTTTGTCGCCATGGTGCAATTTAGCGATTGGAATTAGTCCACACAATTCCATTGAGCACTCCTCGTTGTAGATGTATATATGTAAATGGATCCAATACATTATCTTCGCAGCGGCAGTAAGTCAAGCCAATCAGAAAGAACTCGTTCGGCGACAATTTGAGTCACTTACCATAGTTTGACCACTCCGAAATGTGTTTATTCTTAATGAGTGAGCTCACTCATTCACAATCAGTGCTTATTTGTGCGCAGTGACAGCCAGATGTTGCACATTGGAACTAAAGCGCTGATTTCACCAAAAAAAACTCTCAGAATGCCATCGTGTGCCTTTCGAAAGTGCAATAATAATTCTAGAAACGCTAACAAAGCCCAAGGTGTAACATTTCACTCTTAAGTATTTTATTAAATATTGAATTTATTTTATTCCGATTTCAGAAAATACCACGAAATAATTACGGGCAAACGGAAACTGTGCGACAGAGAAAGTAGTATACACAATTTCCGTAAGATAATAAGAGATGACGATTAGGCGCGAAGACTAATGCGCGTGCAATACGATGTGTATTGCACACGCATTAGTCCGCGCGCTTCAGCGTCTTGCAAACGCACACATTCAAAAATAATGCAACATATTTTCAAGGTAAAGGAGCATATAACTATTCAAATCTTTGGGTGGATGAGGATAAGTGAAAGGAGCTGGCACTAAGGTGCCTCGGCCCAAAGATGAGAATAGTATTTCATGTGATGCCGAACTTGCGTGGCAAACCTGTGTCTTCTGTCGGTTAAACTGGACTGGATGGTTAATCCGAGCCTTTTTAATGAAAAGTCTCGGATAAGAAGTTTTTAACAAAAACTCGACTTTAGACACGAATTTGTTCCGATACTGGATGATATGTTCCCGAGAAATGTTAACTCGGCCGGTGTATTAAGCATCGATAGTGTTGTCATCTCTCAGAGCAGGAGTATTCAACCTTTATAAAGTCTATACTTTATTCCATTATAATTAATGAGATGTCATTTTCAGTACATTTTTTTATATAGAATAGGGTGACAAACGAGCACACAGTCCACCTGATGGTAAGTGGTTGCTGCGGCCCATAGACATCTACATCTATCCTCGATTACGAATCAAAATGCAGATGCGTTGTCACCCGTGACGACTAAGATGGAATGCCTCGTTTCCAGTAAAAAGGGTCTCCGGTCTCTACACTCGCCATACAGCAGCGTTAAGCTAGTATTTCACGCTGGTATTCCGTGAGAGCGTGGTCCTTCCCCGGTCGAGCCGACCCATTCGTGCTACAACTATACTACTTTTGCGCGCCTAAGTTGACGTCAGGTACCTGGCACTAGCGCCATCTAATGTCGGGGACCAGACCGAGGAGGGCTTCCTAGAAAATGCCAATCTTGAACTGTCGACCATCAGTGCCATCTAGTATCGAGCAGAAGAATTAAGCTTTCTAGAAGCCCCACACTGGAGCTTTCTGTGCCTGGTCGTTCGGCGTCCGTATTTACTGGAATATTCTGGATGTTTCGGTAGAAAAGGTGTATTTAAAGCCGGTGCAACCCGCGATCGGGGCAGTATTGAATTTGGCGAGACAAGATTTGCCGTTAGTTTGGACATTGCGAAGGCTTTCGATCGGGTTTGGCACAAATCGCTTCTTTTGAAGCTCCCTTCCTATGGGCTTCCCGAGAAATTGTGCGATTGGATCACCAGCTTTCTTGCAGATCGGGGCATCAAGGTCGTTGTAGACGGTGCAAGCTCCGATTGCAAGCCTATTAATGCTGGTGTTCCACAAGGCTGCGTGCTATCGCCAACGCTGTTTCTTCTGCATATCAATGATATGTTGCAAACCCGTAACATTCATTGCTATGCAGATGACAGCACTGGTGATGCTCTTTACACCGGCCGAGCCAATATTTCTCGGGAAAACGTCTCCGAGTGCCGGGACAAACTTGTGTCTGAAGTCGAGTCTTTGCTGAACAGAGTCTCGGATTGGGGGTGACTAAATCTAGTCCAGTTTAACCCCCAGAAGGCACAAGTTTGCGCGTTAACCGCTAAAAAGAACCCCTTTGTCGTATCTTCTCAGTTTCAAGGCACTCCCCTTGTTGCCTCAGCCAGTATCAGAATCCTCGGCGTCGACATATCGAGTTACGTGCAGTTTCGTGGTCACTTGGAAGAGAAGGCCAAACTGGCCTCTAAAAAGCTGAGCGTGCTCAGCAGAGCGGGACAGTATTTCATGCCGGCACACCGTCTGCAACTTTACAAGGCGCAGGTTCGGCCGCACATGGAATACTGTTCCCATCTCTGGGCTGGGGCTCCCCAGTACCAGCTCCCTTCCACTTGACCGCATCCAGCGCAGAGCGGCTCGAATCGTCGACGACCGAGTGTTTTCCGATCGGCTCGATTCACTGGCACTGCGAAGAGATGTTGCATCTCTTTGCATTTTCTTTCGCATATACCATGGAGAGTGCTCTGAGGAATTGTTCGGATTAATCCCAGCCGCCAAATTTCGTGAACGCACTACGCGGCAAACGTCGCGATACCATCCACATCATCTGGATGCTTGGCGGTCCACCACTGTACGTTTCAAGAGAAGTTTTCTTCCGCGTACAACCTCTCTGTGGAATAGTTTACCACCAGCGATTTTGCGACCTGGGGACCTTCAAGAAAAGAGCGTACTCCTTTCTAAAGGGCCGGCAACGCACCTGCAATTCCCCTGGTGTTGCGGTTGATCATGGGCGGCGGTAGTCACTTAACATTAGGTGAGCCGCATGCTCGTTTGCTCCCTCTTCTATAAAAAAAAAAGTGAAGCTTCGGAGCGAAATAAAGTGAAGTCACGAACCTCAAGCTCGTAACGCTACTAATATAACTGCAGTATGGCTCTACCACGTATAAACCATATAAACCACCATGATCTCTGATTTTAGAAAAATCTGAAATTTATTTGCATTTTTGAATACAAGTCGACTAAAACTAAAATCAATTTATCTTTCGAAGTAGAGTTGCACTGTATCAATTCCATCTGAACTTCAGGGACATCTTCAACAGAAACACTGAACGGAAGAGGAAACAAATTCCTTTGAAAAAATTTCCGCTCTGCTGACCACGCCAAGCTTTTTAGAAGGCAATTTGGCCTTCTCTTCCAAGTGACCACGAAACTGCACGTCATTCGATATGTTGACGCTGAGGATTCCGATACTGGCTGTTGCAGCAAGAGTAGTACCTTGAAACTGAGGCGATACGACAAAGGGGTTCTTTTTAGCGGTAAACGCGCAATCTTGTGTTTTCTGAGGGTTAAACTGAACTAGATTTAGTCGCTCCCAATTCGAGACTCCACTGTCTCCACCCAT